GAATAATGAGCTACTTGTTGCCATGCAATTTTTTGGAGGATAAAAGACAACAAAGTGGTAAGAAAAAGAACAGCTTAAGAGACTCAGCTGTGGACGGCCAAATGAATTAGTCACCAGACTTCAGCTATTCCGAGCTAGAGGCTTCTTCTATACAAAATAAAGAAAAAGATAAGATAGTGAAGAAGAGGCCTAGAACATGATCAATTTTGGTAGTTAGAACTTAGAACTCTTTGAAAGCAAACTCTGCTTGGGAAGAAATAATAATGTTTCAGCATTTAAATTGACATGTCAATGGAACCCTCAAGATGTAGTTCCTTACTAATGATGGCTTCAAGATGCACTGTTCTCTTTTGTTCTAACAACTAAGATGTACTGCTTACTTGGGAAAGAAATATCTATCCTGAATATTATGAGCAACTTTTTAATTCTACTAATCCCCTAGAGAACTGCTTAAGTTAATGTCATTAGGAGCACTTAACAATCCATATATGATTTCTTCGGTTGAAGGGTACTTGTAGAGATATGCCTGACTATAGAGAGTCACCTAAACTCTTTGGATAAACGAGGATAGTGAGAGTATGATATACATGTAATACCTCGTGTGGCAAGCTACTTATCACAAGATAAAGGAAATTGATCGATAAAATCAAGAAGAATTGTATTGAAGAGTAAGACTTACTGATCATAATTAGCAACAGCAGTAGTTCAATATGAATTTGTCCAAAGGGAAGAAAGCTGAAAGGTGGAAAACAGAGAATTTAGCTTAGGTATCTATTACTGCTGCAAACGCACGACACTCTTTCACACCTAGATAGAGCTTGACCCGACTCATGTGCATGAAGACATTTCCACTTCCATTCAAGGAATGAAATTATATTGACCTTGACATGTGGAATCAAATGGTGCTATATAGCCTCTGGCGAACCACCACTGCTTCTGGCGGTTTCAGTACACTGTGCAACAAGAGCTGCGATTAAAGAAGCCAGAAAGCAAGTAAAATCTTGGAGCAGAATTGATGGACCTGATTCAGCATTCCAGTTGGATGTCCCAGCTATCATGCCTGTTGTGAAGAACCTCTGTGGCTTGGACATTGTAGAGAGGTACTTGGAGAGTTTGCTCACCGATTAATAATATGCCATAAGCGGTCAATCTTGCTTTTGTCTGTTAAAAACTGTAAATATTGTAGTAATTAGTCAGTGTCTGTAATAATCACAGTTTCAGTTTCCTATGAAAATAAAATGTTACTCTTCTTGAACAAGGGACGTGTCTTCTTTTATTAGTAGCTCATTGTTAACCAAATAAACCAGTGTGACTTTTGCTTTATTGATTTGATTACCATTTTCTTAATTGGATTAATTTTTTATATACTGATAATGTATATACTATAGGATTTAATATGCCAACTAAGTTTAATTCGAATTAGAATATAAGTTTTACACGTGTGACGTTCATCTAAGTTGTATATACACTGTCACTAAATAGAAAATTAATTCTTTTTAAATATCTAATTTTTTTTATTCAGTGAGATTCTTAACTGCCTACTTTGCCATGTTTTTGAAGGTTAGATTGTATTGATAATTTGAGAAAGCTGTCCTTTGTAATCGTAGCCTTGTTACAAATAATCTAAGTCCGATCATGGATTTTGCCAAGATAGATCAATCAGCTGAAGAAGACCTTCATTTCGGGTCTGTTTGGTTGGAAGTAAAATGTTTTCCTTGGGAAAATATTTTCCGTGGAAGTAATTTTCCATGAAAATCATTTCCCTTTCATCATTTTCAGGTGTTTGGTTAGTTTATTGAAAATATTTTCTTACTTCATTTTTCTGATGTTTGTTTAACTTTTGAAATATTTTCACTTTTATCTCTATCTTACTTTCTACACATTATAACTACATACTTCTTCCCATACAAATTAAGAAAATTTATCTCATTATTTAACTTTAAAAAATCTTGGAGAAATGTATATATGAATAAAAAATATCTCCTTAAGCAATAAATAAATTGCTGGCCATTTAGTGTTCAAATATTCAAGTCACATGCCAATGCTCTAATTGGTAACATAATCATCTTGCCACATCTCACTGCTGAAGCTTTCTCTAGAAAAGAGATGTCCCTATTTATACATAATTAATTCACTAGCATTAGGATGAGATAGGATGGGGGTTTTTTTTTATTTTGAATATGCGTATGGGGGAGGGTTGAGGTTGGGGGGGTCGGTACGAGGTGAGGGAGGGGAGCTGTAAGGAAAGAGGTCTTGTGTTCGCAGTCCTCCTGTTTCACACTAAAAAAAAAAAAAGAACATACTACAAGATGTTTTCAATAAGTTTGGAACATAATAAAAAAAAAGAACATAGTATAAGATGTTTTCAATAAGTTTGGAACATACTACAGGCGGGATGCATGCATTTCGGAAAACAACTTCAGTAAGTTTGAAAGGGAAGTTGTTTTCCATAAGATGAGTGAAAATATTTTACATAAGAAAATGTTTTCAGTAACTTTTGTGCAACCAAACACGGGAAATTAGGAAAATATTTTCCTGGAAAACATTTTCACCCGAAACAAACAGACCCTTCATCCCTACAATAAAGATGAGATATTTGTATGTTCAAATTACAGCTAATCAATACTCAGTGGCCACCACCTCTCCAGGTGGGGTGGGAGGTCAGGGGTTCAACTCTTGCCTCCCACTAAATTGTCTACCCCTCATGGGCAACTCGATTGGTCTCAGCAAGCCTCCTTAAGAGCTGGTGTCTAGTGTCCGCAAGGATCCGAGTCCTGTGATTATCGTGTTCGGAGGATGGGGCCTCTCGTCTCAGGCCGGAGTGGGATTAGTCGGACCTCGTAAGAATTGATCCGGATACCCACTCTATCAGCAAAAAGAAAAAATAAATATGAGATAAAAGACTTACATGGGAGTATTTACAAATAAAATTACAAAAAAAAAGAAAATAAAAGTTTGCAATTCATACTTCCACCTATTTAATATTCATGTAACTCAATTTTAAAATGGAAGAAGATAATCCAAATTAATTCATTGATAACTTAAAGAGACAGCTTTCTTTCAAGTCCACATGGGATCATACATTTTAAAGATAACTTAAAATATTTTTACAATTTCTCATACTTTTTTACTTTTTCATGAATGCATTTTCTTAATCTACCCACAAAAAAAAAAAAAAAAAGAATGCAACCTTCATATACTTGCTTGTGAAACTAAATGTCCTAAATATACTCTCTTTTCTCCTTTTTATCCAATGCAAGTTTCTATATCCTTGTAGAATGAGAGAAGTCCACTCAATTGCAAGTTGATGAATATTCTAATTTCCATAATACATTTATTGTTATGACAATCTACATCTAGCTTCTTTTGATTAAGCTCCTACAAAACTTCTACTCAACAATAAGCCAGGTTTACACCCAATCTTGAAAGAAATGGTTTCCATCTCCTTTCCTGCAATACAATAAACTACACCTAGGCATGCAGACTTTTTAGTTTTCTTTATATGTTTTTCTCCATTTGGTGATCTAAGAACACACAATAAAAACACTATAAAAGAAAGTTGCCTATACTATTAATGCATTAAAATTATCATCCATTCCCTGAATTGCGACATTTCGAGGAAGAAGTTTGCCTTTTTACCCCAAAAAAAAAAAAAAAAAGTACCAAACCTATCTTCTTATGCTGAGTTTAAATTATCCTAATATAGATGAATCTTCTTATATCTGATGTTTTATCTCAAACTTGTGAATATTATAAAGTCTTAAAGTATGTTGTTTCCAGAATAAAAAGACAAATTGTAAAAATAAAAATTGATTCATCTATATATATATATATATATCCCTAAAGAGGTAGATCAGGTACACGGTTACTAGAAGAAAAAAAAATCTGACAAGTGAATGAGTAAGCGATTAGAGGTCTGGATAAGGACATAACCGAAGATTTAGAAAGGCAATTAAGACCAAATTCCACGTGAGATTTGTTTAGTAAATGTCAAAGATTGTGCATTTACCATATGAAGAACGATACGTATTACTTTTGGCATACGCATATGACGCTATACATTTCTTATACTTATCTAGAGCAAGCAGGGCAAGTGGGCCCCCTCCCTCAATTAATTAGGTTTTGGTTAATCCACTTCTCATTAATTAGGACATTCTTTGGCTTTCAAAATGGACTAATTTAGTGATTTACTTTGTTGCCGGCCAAGAGAAGATCATGGTTGTGAAGCTTTTTGCATCTTAACATTCAACTTATTCAACTTGAAATTGAGTAGTTGAAATTATTCTTGGAGTTCTACATTAATTAAATATAATCTTTTGTTATCAAATATTAACTTTAAGGTCATAAGTTGTCATCTTAGAATTAAATATGAACTACCAATCAAAATAACTTTAAGGATTTGAAATTTCGAGACCGATTTTTAAGAATCGTGCTACAACCTTAAATTGCAAAATACCACCCCACTAATATGTAGTTAGAATATATCACATGACTTTACCTAATTGTCAAAAATTGAAATTCAAATTCTCAAACTTGATAACAGAACATCTTAAAATTACTCCGCTCGACACTATTGGATATCATGTCGTAAAATTTACAAATTTTTAATTCATCATCTTACTGTTTATAACAAGCCAAAAAAGCATATAACTTCTCTTTATTGGAGATCTATATCAAAAATTTCCAATGCTTATAACTGAAGTGGGCAAAGAAATTCATGAAATGTGAAAAAAAAATTCATGAAAAAGAGTTAGCTGGCAAATAAATTTCCAACATGGAAACAGAAAGACAGCCGCGAATTTGGCTAGAATATAGCGTAGATAGGATTTTTTTTCACATGTCAGAATTTGACTGACTTTGTGTCTTCAGAATAACATTTTAAAACGGCAAGTAAAATTTATACAGTCAATCAATGCAATCAAGAGATTTGGAAGCCAAGTCAGTCGGCAGTTATCACCCACCCCTATAAAAGGGATCCATCTACTGATCCAACCAACCGTCTCCATCCTTTCATTCTTTGAAAACCAAAGCTCATGCACTCATAGAACTCTCCTTTCATTCCTCAGTTTCTCATTTTGTTATAATTTACAATTCTTGCCTCCTCCATCATTCCTACAGTTAGATTTCCATTATTATAAGTAAGTCCATGCATTGCACTATTTTTTTAACATTTGTTTTTTTATCTCTTGAATCCTCAATGCTATTTATCGCCTTTTTTATTTTCTTGATTACCGATAGACTAAAAAATATTATTATGGTCATGTCACTTATATAGGTACGGATTTAAATAGCAATGAACTTAATCTACGTGATTCATGTCATTTTTATAGATGTTAACTACATTCTCGTGTAACGCAATGGTCGTGCTATAGTATTAGTAATTGAAAATTCGAATCCTGATATATTATTTGAAGAAAGGGCGATTTTAGTACATGAATCAATCCTTACTCATCTCTAGTTCTCTACTCTACATGTTCAGTTTCCTAAAATGTGTATCAAAATATATGATCAAGAGATCATCTTTAAACTTGGGGGATAAGATTTTAAATCAACGAATTAATTTTGTTAAGACTCTATTAAACCTCTCATTCTTTTTTTGGTAACATTTTTAGAAGGAAAAAGTTGCCTATTATTCTGGAGTTGCTTCTTTAGGTTCCAACATGTGTGTATAATACACAACACAAAAATCACTGATCTTGACATAGATTGTGCTCAGGATGGATAGATTTACAATATTGTGCACTGTGGGGATGGTATTACACTTGTGGATGGCTGTTACAGAAGCAGACTACATGAAGTATAAGGATCCAAATCAGCCAGTGAATGTTAGGGTCCGAGACTTGTTGAGTCGAATGACACTTGAAGAAAAGATTGGGCAGATGACCCAAATTGACAGAAAGATTTCAAGCAAAGAGATCATGAAGAAATACTTTATAGGTATGTTTTTTTACACGAGCAAGTTTAGGTTGATCACGTGAAAAATTAAAAGTTAGAATGGAGGTTTGGCATAAACTACGAGTGGATTATGGGCATGTTTATCGGGACAAAAACTTAGATTGTTTTGACAAATGTAAAATGTGTATTACAGGGATTAGGCAGATGACTTGCGTATTCGTGCAAGAAAACAGGGAGAGAGCATTTCGGAAGTTGCTAAGTAAAAGCAACCTAAAGAATTAAAAATTTTCAAATTTTGTATAACAAGATTTTCTTTAGGATTGTCTTGCACTCTTTTGTGTGTATTTTCTTCTTTTTCATGTATATAATAAGATGATAACAATTGTTATTTATCAAATTATGTTTTAGTTGAAGTAATTAAACATATATAAAATTTTCTTAAACGAAGTAGCTTTGTCTTTTTGATGACTTGAGAATTTGAGTGTGACATCTGAAGAAAGGTCTTGCACTTAATAGTTTCAAATACATCTCTCTCACAGATTATGTCACTATGCTTCCCTTGTAAGAAAGGCATAAGTCGTAAGCCTCCTTAGACCAAAAAATACATGTTCAATGAATTTGTTTTCAATTGCATAAATAATTTTCCCTATTATAAGATCAACTCTTTTCTTTTTCTTTTTTTTCTGTGTGAAAAACAATTTTTTTTTTTTGGCGAATTACTTGATAAAAAATAGTACCACTCTGTTCAAACCAAGAAGATAAGTTACTTTAAAATTTGAGACACGGGACAAAAATTCTACAAATGGTTTCGAGGGTATAAATCAGTAACCTCTAAAAAAGGTTGAAGAATTATCCATTGCAGATGCACATAAAAAGCTAAAAATCCTGCATCTTGGAGATTCTGCGAAAAATTTTGCAGCCTATGCACAATCTGGCAAGGATCGTCCCAGATGCAAATTAACAAAAACAAAAAAAAAAGGAGCTAGAAGAATTTGATTAAAGATTTCCATATACGCTTCTAAGGTATAGCTAGAGTAGTAAAAATGAGAATAAAAAAACATTGATTTCAGCTAAAGTCTTCTGGAAAATATTGTTAAATAAAAGAAATCTTGTGACACGTCTTGATGAATGACAATGGCAGGAAGTGTATTGATGGTGAGGAGTTCATCCATCCCAACTGCCTCTGAACATGGAACAATATGATAATGATTCAAGAGGGCCCTCTCAATCACCACGTCTTGATTCACTGATATTTATGGGATTGAGCAATTCACGCACAATAATGTCTACAAGCTACATCATTTCCTCAATAATATTGGCCTGAGTACCAGCTAATTAACTTGAACCTGCTGGCTTATATTATCTAGTGTAGAATGCTATACAAGATTATGGTACCATGGAAGTTCAAGTGACTATTATTCATCTCTTCTGATCTTTGAAAATTAAGGGTAAAAGGGTTCTTATTGATTTCTTTCTTTTGTTAGGTTTACATGACAATTAAAACCAGGGCCCTTTTTGTTGTGTTTACACTTGAGAATTAGGCTATTTAGCACAAGAAATGTTGTTATATTGAACTCAGAAACTAGACTCTTCGGTGATTGTAATAATTTTTTGTGATATAAGTAGCACATTGAGGCAAGGGTTAGCATAGTCTCTGCTTGCCAAATCATACAAGAAAACAGATGAATTTGTAACAGCATTGCTTGATTTTCATTTTTGGAGTAATTTGCTTTGCTGAATGTATGTATGTCGTAGCTAATGACTGAAATGTTATGAACTATCATCAGGGATCCAGAACTTGTGAAGAGGATAGGAGCCGCAACTGCACTCGAAACTAGAGCTACTGGAATCCCATATACTTTTGCACCTTGTATTGCAGTAAGTAAAGCGTAGGCATGTGATTGATCATTTTCTGTTCGAGTTGGCATAACAATTTACTGATTTGGTGTTCACAGGTTTGCAGGGATCCAAGATGGGGTCGCTGCTATGAAAGCTATAGCGAAGATCATAAAATTGTTCAGGCAATGACTGAGATTATCCCTGGTTTACAGGGGGATGTTCCTGCTAATTTTCCAAAGGGCATTCCCTACATAGCAGGAAGGTATAAACTGTGTACTTATTAGCCTCATTCTTGTTTTGGCCTTTGTCACAAAAGAACCCAACGAACTCTCGTGGATAAAGCAAGGAATTTGTACTTTAACATGTCAGGGAGTTCTTGCTTGCTGGTTAATTTGAAAACATTAACCTAGTGGAGGTTTCATGAAACTGATTTGTGAGGTGGGAAAAGCATTTTTATGAGGGATTCTACATTGTATAAACCTTGATTTCCATTGAATGCTATAAGCCGTTACCATGCTAAAATCAGCTCTTTGTAAGGGCGTTAGATTGGAAATTTTTTTATTGTCAGCATCCTAACAAATTTGTTACTTTTTGACAAAAGAAACAAGGTTGCAGGATGTGCTAAGCACTTTGTGGGAGATGGTGGCACAACCAATGGGATTAATGAGAACAACACAGTGATTGACTGGAATGGGCTGCAAAGCATCCACATGCCTGCATATCTTGACTCCATTAAAAAGGGTGTTGCAACAGTGATGGTATCCTACTCAAGCTGGAATGGAGAAAAGATGCATGCTAACAAGAAACTCATAACTGGATATCTCAAGAAACAGCTCAAATTCAAAGTAAAATTTCCTAGCTTGAAAACTATCAAACTCATTTGTCAATTTGGGCTAGTCTGAATTATTAGCTAGTGCCAAGCTTAATGCTCTGTATGTTGCCATGTTTCAGGGTTTTGTCATATCAGATTCGCAGGGTATTGACAGGATTACCTCCCCTCCTCATGCTAATTATACTTACTCTGTTGAAGCTGGAATTCTCGCTGGAATAGACATGGTAAGTGACAGAACCAGCATAACATAGTTAATATCATTTTGTTATATCCAAAAGGTGTTGTCAGGGAATTTATTGATTTCTACATAAAATGTATGTACTGATACTCTTTCCTTGATTATTGCAGATAATGGTCCCAGAGAAATTTACTGAGTTTATAGATGACCTGACTTCACTTGTGAAAAAGAATGTGATCCCTATGACCAGAATTGATGATGCTGTAAGGAGAATATTGAGGGTGAAGTTTGTCTTAGGTCTCTTTGAAAACCCAATGGCTGATTATAGCTTGGTCCATGAATTGGGAAGCCAGGTTCAAATACTTTTATTTGAAATTACACTATCTTGTATCTATGCTTTTTACTTTGGAGCGAATTTCTTTGTCTGCTCAATCAATTCTGTTGCACAGGAGCATAGAGAATTGGCCAGTGAAGCTGTGAGGAAATCTCTTGTGCTTTTGAAAAACGGTAAAAATATTGATGAGCCACTGCTTCCTCTTCCAAAAAGAGCATCAAAGATACTTGTTGCAGGAAGCCATGCTCACAACATTGGTAATCAATGCGGAGGGTGGACTATTGAGTGGCGAGGACTAGCCGGAAACATCACAGTTGGTATGTTTCACAAGTTCTTCAAATAGAGCATTTTAAGCAGATATAGCTAGCGGTTTCATTATAGGCAACTAAGCTGAATTTCTTGAGTAAAGAAGGGATGATGGATTTTAGAAATGTTCTAAAGCTTCTCAGAATTTTTTGTTTGAGTAATACTGTATAAAAATGGTAAGAAAATCCAGGTATAAATTTCAGAGAAATTTAGTCTGCATAGGGCATACTTATTTTTGTGCCTCAAGTTCAGGCCACTATAATCGGATTCAATCACTTGGATGAAGTGAGCATATTCATGGACTATTGCATAATAAGCTCACAGTGGAAAAATGGGTTTTTCACAGGTACCACTATCTTAACAGCTGTGAAGAACACTGTTGATCCACTAACGGAAGTTGTGTACAGGGAAAATCCTGAAACAGAACTTCTGAAATCCAACAAATTCTCATATGCCATTGTGGTTGTCGGTGAACCACCTTACAGCGAAAGCTTTGGTGATAACATGAATTTGACCATCCCAGAATCTGGCATTAGGACAATCAATAATGTCTGTGAAGCGATAAAATGTGTGGTGGTAATCATATCAGGTCGCCCTGTGGTGATCGAGCCATATCTTGCTAAAATCGAGGCATTAGTGGCTGCTTGGCTGCCAGGAACTGAAGGCCAGGGTGTTGCAGATGTTCTATTTGGTGGCTATGGTTTTACAGGCAAGCTTGCAAGAACTTGGTTCAAGACAGTTGATCAGCTTCCAATGAATGTTGGTGATCCACATTATGATCCTTTGTTTCCATTTGGCTATGGCCTCACAACTTCACCTACAGAACTCAGAGCATCTCAGTAAATATTACAGGATTCAACCTTATTCTTCTAGTCGTTATAGCTGGCACACTCAATTTATAGCTGTATATATACTGAAATAGAGCTATAGCAGATTGTATTAGAATTGTCAATGACAGTTGCTTGTGGATTTGAAACTATTTATTCTACACATAAATAATTACAAGGTTATATTTATGACATGGGTGAAGATTTTGTTGGGAAATTTTGAACATTTTCTACAGGAAGTGTCCCTCTGGTGTCTGCGTTTATATATACTTTCAGTTGCTGTTACATGTCCCAAGAAAAGAACAAGAAAAAAAAAATTTATATATATATATAGTATGATAGAAAGCCAAAGAATTAATTCTGATTATGGCTGAAAGAAAGGCAAGCTACTTGATTTCCGAATCGAGTTTGACTTGATTAGAGCTTGTTCACCTACTAATCAAAACAAATATTAACATTTTGTATTTGATAAAATTTGATAAAACAAATATTAACATTTAATATTGACTTGAATTTGACTCGATTAGCATAATTTATGAAATAAACACGTAAATATTCAAATCATTTGAACTCAACTTGAGTTAGGCGCAATAAAAAGCTTGTTTTGGTTTAACTCAATCAATAAACAAGCAAAAACTTGAACACAATTACAAGTTCGTTGTAATAAACAAACATGTTTATACCTACTTTTGATTGATTTAAAGTTTGGATAATGAAATTTCCATGTATTTTGGAAACTCTGATGTGACTTGGACTTTATCTTATTAGGCTTCCACTAGTGTTCATTCTTTTTTGTGGGCTCATTTAAATTCACCAATAACATGAACCTAGAAAATGTTTTTTCTTTTTTCCTCTATGTCTAATTAATAAGTTTTAGGGTTCACAAAATTAAACTCCATTTTGGCCTTCTATTTTCAATTACGGTATTGGAATCCACTTTCTTGCGGCGGCAAGTATAATCAATTAGCAATTGTTGACAGCCCTACTTTTAGCAAAAGCGCACTGTGTCATTTTCGCAACACCAAAAATTATAATTATCAGTATAGGAAAATTCTCTGTTTCTTTTCAATAAACATTTATATACTTATATTTGCAACATTATAGTAGCTGCCATATCTTAGCTTCAATTACTTAATCAATTAATTTGAAGAAAATTTGCTTCAAAATGTGGATATTTTGTCACAAAATGATTTTTTTTTTTTAGGAAAGAATGTCATAAGGTCAAGATAACAGCCCCTTTTTTTTCAAATATTTTTCCCTAGCAACGGAGGGGTGGAATTCAAAAAGCGGGAAAGAGAGAAGAGGCTGGAGAATTAGAACTCAAAATCTCTAATTTCTGGAATCTCAACCTTAATAGTCAATTTCTTATGATTTTTACATGAATTTATGGTGGTTTAAAACTTATGGCATCATGCCATTTTTTTTCTGCTCTTTTTAGGAGATTTGATAAACAATTGAGTAGCAATTTTAATTCACATCATCTTCTTGACTTAATTAGGCTTGTCAACATTGTTGAAATGTTAACTAGGGTAAGAGTATGCAAAAGATAGCACAAATATATATATATATATATATATATATATATATATAATCAGAATATACACACACACATATTATCCACCTAAATACTTATTAAAATTGTAAGCAGAATGTTAAAACTGTAATTTGATGGATGAAATTTACTCATTAGTATTGCAACTAGGTTACAAACAAATGGAGGTGACTCGCAAGCTAACTCGGCTAAAGCTCATCTCGAACTTGACTAGGCTTGAATTTGATTTCGAACTCGAGTTCAAACTTTACAGTAAGAGCTCGTCACGTTCAAACTCCAATTTGACATTTATGAAATTGAGCTAAGTTTGACTTGATTAGGTCAAAACTAAGTTCAATTTAACTCATTTGCAGTCCTAATTGCAACATGAGAAAGTGGTGATGAGAATTAACAAAATCAGAGTAGATTGAAGTGAAAATTAGCCATCTACTAGATAGAATATTTGAGTCTGAAATGGAAATATTAATTTTTTTTTAAGATCAGATTAGACATTAGTGGTTAGTAAGTTTCCATAGAATTAGCTTTGAGCAAATTATGTTGAGATTTTATTGGAAAATTTGCACATGCTGCAAAATGGCTATAATTTCTTCATATTAGTTACAATCTAGTCAAATTGTTTCATACTATTGACATTTCATGTACATAATAAATATTTCACTCCAGACCAATTTTGTAAGGAAATATTAATTTGTCTAGTTGAATAGCATGCTTAGTACATTGTGCCTTTGTATGCATATAAGGAATTGGTATGCATAATATCATAGTGTAATTTTTAATATAACTATTGCACGCTCACAAATCATCTAATGCTTTAAAATTGTATTATATAGCTATTAAATTAATCTCTTATTGAATTTAATGTGGTCAATGAATAATTTTATATGATTAAGATGTCTACAATTAAGCTTCTTTAATTCAAGTGATAGATTTTGCAGGCAAATTAAAAGATCGTTCAACAGTCCTTCATGCGGGTGAAAATCATTACAGAACAAAAGTGCCATGGCCTAACAAAATTAGGGTAAAGTTCTACTTTTTTATTTCTTTTTTCTTTTTTCTTTGAAAAGAAATATCTATGACATGACATGAGTTATGCTCTAAATAAAATAAATTTTAAAATGTCAAATTGTTTTTACTTATGCACAACTACTTCTTAATTAACAATAGTGCCACCACCAATTTAATATAATTGTCAAACACGTAGTAATTATTTTGAAACAAAAAACATTCAAATTCGAAATGTAATTAATCCTTTTCCTAAAACGAAAAACAAAAAAATTAATAATGTAACTGAATTCAAATTTCAAAGCCTGGTAATTAAGAAATTTGAGTTTATTTCCAAAATAACCTTCCTGTCCAAAAATAATGCCAAAATGATTCACTTGCAATTTTTTTTTGAGCTATTCACTTGCAAATTTTATTCCCTTACTAATGTGTATATTCCCACAAACTCCAAACCCGCGGTTTGTCTCTACTCATTCTCATTATTCCATTTTGTATCTCTTTTCATTTTTTGCCCTCTCTCCTTTCTAATAGTCTTTTTTTTTTTTTTGGGTCTTCTCAAGCCATACAACTTCTTATAGAACCTAAGATATAATCAACTAAGTTTTAAAATTCAATCCTTGGTGATTATTTAATAGTTCGAAATTCAATACTTGTATTTGCCACTCAAAGCTACTTAAGGTTGTTCTCTCTCTTTTTATTTAATTATTGCACAACAACTACAAAACTTTTATGACATTTGGACTATTCTTAATGGTGGTTGATAACATATAATTTCTCACCTCATGTGTATGATAAAAGGCCAATGAGAAAAATTAGTTCTCCTCTACATCCATTAATTATGACTTGTGATATTTGAAGATTTAAATTTACCAAAATTATTTTCTAACATTTTATTTATCAGAATTAGTTTCTAACATGGTCACATGCATCCGTTGAATCTAGTATATTTATTGAATCTAGTAGGAGTATAGTTTTATTGAATCTAACATATTTACAATGTAATTGTTGAAGATTTATTGAATCTAGTATATTTACCAAAATGATTTATTGAATCTAGTAATTTACAATGTAATTGTTGAATATTATATTTTTATTTTATATAGTTCACCTATTCATGCTTCCAATTTCCCTTTTCCTTTTCCAATGAAAATTTTTTTATTTCTTCCAATTATTTTATGTCAAATTTTCTTTTTTTCTTTGTGGGCCTGGTTTACTTAAAAGTGTCTAAGGGCATCAAACAATTAGTAGAAAATTTATTATATGTTAAAATTTATTAGAGATGGATAATCTTATACTTGACATGTCCACATACTCTCCAATATAGAAAATGTCAAAATTTTAGTTCATCTTAATTGACAATTTATCCACAGATCCAAGCAGAAAACATCACTATGGGAATAAAATATAAAAGCGCATCACTTCGGGAATTTTTATTTGAAAGAAGATTAGTTTGACAAAAAAAAAAACCCTAAGAAATTTTGTTCACTATTCAAAACATTTTTCATTTAATCTTGTTAACGAGTTTCACAGTACCATACTACCAAGGAAAAACAAATTCTGAAATTGATGATAACAAACTCTTTAATGGGAGGAATGACTCACAGAGTAGCAAAAGAGAAAATTGGTAAGGGAATTGAAGAACTATTGGCTTTATGGCCACTTTTAAATAAAGAAATCATCTAAAATTGACGGATGCAATTGAAATGCTAAATCATGAATCATGATCGAGATTCTAAATCTTTTACTAAAATGAAATTAGACATAATTTGATTTAATTTTGGTAAAAATAGAATCTAACATGCTTTGTCAAATGCACATTAACTCCCATCTCTATCATTATCAAATTATTTTTTTCAAAGAAAATAAAAAGAAACTTCCATTTTTGCCAATTTTTTACTTTTTATTTTTAGAAAACGAGATTTATTATTATAACGAGAATAGTATACTTAAATATAATATAAAAAACACTGATTAAGGTCTAACCTAATCATTTTCTATTCATATGAAATCACCAAGTAGATTTTTCTTAGAACATAAGAAAGAAAAAAGAAGAAATTGATCTTTAATAGTTTAGAATATTATACAAAGAATTTTTGTTGGTTGTCACGAAACTTTTGTCATATATCTTTCTAAAGAGCTCCACACTGCAATGCTATCACAAAGAAACAATTTGTAAATTTAGAAGACTCATTAGTGAACAATAGAATATATGAAGAACCAATTTGCAAATTTAGAAGAAACTCATTAATGAAACAAGAGAATTTGAAAAAACAAAGTAAAGCCATTTAAAAAAAAAAAAGTAGAATAAAGGCAAGCTTAACGGCTTCAAAATTTTGTTTAAATTAAGAAATAAATGTACGATTCAACAAATATTGGTAAAATGGGTTGAAACGTCAAATCTTAATTGCTCATTATTCTATTATGGGTCAAATCAGGAATAATGTCTTCTATTTGTAGTGCAAATTAGGAATTATAATCTTTTAGTTCTAAATATAATTAATTTCATACAAATGTTGTCAATTTAGCCTAGGTAGAATCTTCTTTTTCAAGGGATCAGATTGGCAGCCAAGTAGGATCTTAAATAACTAATACTATCAAAATATCATTAATTAACTCGCAATCACTAAATTTCTTTTTGTTACTCAAAAATATGAAGAAAATCT